AATGGGTAATGAGATGCGGATTTAGCCTAGCATTGAATGGTTGAGCTTGACTAGTCAACCCTGCAAGTCTTTCCGTCATCCTGCAGAAAGAGTCTAATGATGACACTTTCTTAAGTCCCTTCTCCATTTGTGTAAAAGGTGAAAAACACAGTAACAAATTTGCATTGAACTGACTGACGGATTCAGAGCAGAAGAATAAACTCCAAAACAGACAAAAAGATTTGACCACTTACCAGACACTGTCTTAGAGTTTCAAACATTATCTTAATCTATATAACAGCTTTCAAACTTAAACTAAGTGATTTTAAAAGACAGAAATCTAGTTTTTATATAATCTTTTCTTTTAGTCATGAAAGAGCAACAACACATAACAATTTGCAATGAATAAATTAACTATAAGGTTTTTGTTTCCAATTAGTAGTAGTGACTGATTGACCTTGAGATTTAGGCAGTAGCATCACTAATTCAATGACTTTAACGACTAATAAACCACAAGCTGACAGATTCTTGTGTTGTTTTACAGAGTAACCTAAAGTAGATCTCTGAGCTTCATTGAGTTTCTTACCTGTTTTATTCTTTTCACTCTTTTTCTCAGGAGAGATATCACTGTATATGAGCTCCGTATCTCCAGCAGCGGCTGATGGGAAAACACTGGCATTAGAAACAGATAAACTACAATCTCATATTTCAATCATTAAAGTATTGGCTTCAAAACTAGCTTTATAACAGATCATGGCAGTTAAACGTGTTTCACATTTCAGACTGTTTACACGTAACGCACTGAGATAAAGGGAAGGAAAGAATACAGAAACTGAGGTCAGATATTCATTAATCTTTGATTTATTGGATCTCATATAAAACTTTTGTAAATATATCAGTAAATTCTGAGTAATTTGCACATAGAGAGTACCTTCCTGAAAATTCACAAACGCTTCATTAAACCATTAAAAATGTCATAGTTAAGCATGTGCTAATGAATTCCAGTCATTCGTAAACAAGGCATGTTGGAAGCTGCTGTACATTTTTTCAAACCAACTAACAATGTGAAAATACAAACACGTTTGTGAATCATAACAGCTTTATGAATAAATTACATAAAAAAAATAATTATGCTCGTTTCATGATTGAGGCCAAATGACTTCCTATTCATACCGTGATCATACTTAAGTACTACTAGCCAAAAAAGAAATAGCCAAAAATCATTATTAAATTGAATAATCTGGTTAAAACGAAATATTTTTTTCCTATACATTCATGATGCTTGAGGAATATTGTTTAAGCATTTCTGCCATTTTGAACCAATTTTAACCACAGAAGGTTTGTCAAATCTCCACCAAAACTGTCTCAGATCATCGTAAAAACATCTATAATGTTTCTACTTTTGGTGTAATTGTCTTTGAAACTGTCTGTAAGGGAGTGCAATGACCAAACAAATCTATTCAATACATACAGCAGTCAGGTCCAGAAGTATTCGGACACTGACTGAGTTTTTGTGCTTTTGCCTTTATACACCACTACAATGGATTTGAAATAAAACAATCAAAATGTGATTGAAGTGCAGACATTTAGCTTTACTATAAAAGGTTCCACAAAAATATGGCATTTACCATTTAGGAGTTACAGCCATTTTAAGCAAAGTACCTCCAATTTCAGGGGTTCAATAGTATTTGGACAGTTGACTAAGAAGAGGTTAATTGACCAGGTCCTGTCCATTCCCTCGTTACTTCAAGACAAATTAAGCAGATAAAAGAGTTGATATGAGGTATCAAATTGGCATTTGGAAGCTGTTTGACTGGTGCTACCAAATGAAGTCCAAGGAGATCTCGATGAAAGTGAAGGAGGCCATCATTAAGCTGAAAAACCAACATAAATATATAAGGCTGGCCGCACACTAGAGGATTTTAAGGCCGATTTTAAGCCCGATTTGCACCCCCGGATGATCGGGGGGGGGTGTCCCGATTCCCGGCTTGTCGCAAGCAATTTTTTTGTCCAAAACATCCTCTATTGTGTGGTGTCATTACGATTATTTAACTGCTCCCGATCGAGACGGAGCGTCGCCGAACTCAAATCTAGTTCTATCGAACTCGATAGCCAATGAGCGTGAGCAAGCGTCACCTACCGGATGCTGCGTGCTTCTATAGCTGAAACTTGGCAGCCACAAACATGCCGTGAAAGCAGAGAACATCACCCATATTATTTTCTATACTTTGTTTTTCACTGTGAAGCATAATGCGCGCCAGGAGAGCCAGCTGACAACGTTGATTGTATTCTATTTGTTTTTCTTCTCTAGTCACGTTTGATCTCACGAGTGTCCGTGAGATCACGTGTCACTGTGAGATCGTTCCTACAATCATCAAGTGTGTGGTCTCCCATGGTTTTAAAATCGTCTAGTGTGCGGCCAGCTTAAAGGGGTCCTATTATGCTTTTTCACTTTTTTAATTTTAGTCAGTGTGTAGTGTGTATGTTTGGGCATAAAAAAGATCTAGAAAGTTACAAATCTCAAAGTCC